TATGAATAGCAGTTAATATGCAATCAGACCAAAGAGATATAGGTAAACAAGATTGAAAAAGAAGAGATCTAGTAGTTTCTAAAATGTGTTGATGTTTTCTTTCTACTGTAGCATTTTGTTGAGGAGTTTCAACATAGGACATTTGATGAATAATGCCATGAGAATTGTAGAATTCAAAGAAAAGAAGTTTTGTATCGTTTTCAGTTCTAATAGTTTTGATTTTCTTTTGAATTGAGTTTCAATCATTTTATAAAAGTTGAGTATATGAAATCTAGTTTCACCTTTAGTTTTCATCATAAAAACCCAAGTGCATCTTGTATGATCATCAACAATTGGTAAAAGAAATTTAAAATTGTAATAGGTTTGTGATTTTTTGTTTGTTAAAATTGTAGTAAATCTGACTTCTGTATGTGCTCTGAGGAATTCCATGATCACTGTGTGGTGATGATAATGACGAGGTAGTTGTAATTAAAATGACAATAATAATTGTGTGGTGATTTCCCTAAATGTTATAAGCATTACTCTTAATGTTCAATTGTTAATAGTTGATTTCCTTATGGTAAAACTTCCTATGGGTTTGAAGTGAGGAATACCATTCGATCACTTGGCCTAGACTTGTTTGAATATAATTTCAGTTAAAACTTTTCCTATTTGATAAAATCAAGATCATCTTCTTCTTTGTATGAAAGAAGTTCGATTGATTTCGAACTAATTCAAAGATTTTTTTTTAAATGACTAATATTGTGCATCTAGTAGGAATTGAACCTATGACTCCTCCTCAGGGAATGTAAGGTTTTCATGAGTCTGCTCTTGAGCGGCCATCCAAGCATGAATACCTTCATTTATTACAATTTTTTGTGTGTAGAAAAAATTCATTATAAAGTGGTGTAACAAGTGCATGATGTCCATTGGAACGCCTATGTAGAGTTTATCGTCAAATTGAAAAAATAAATTTCAAGACATAAGCCTTACCTATTAGGATAGGTTGTTAACCGGAGCTGCAAGAGAACAATAGCAATCAGAGTTTCTCCCCCGGGGGACGACACTCCCTCACCTAGATGGTTCCATTTGATCTTTTAGGCCACACTAGATCAACTAGTGTATATCTAGTCACTTAAATTGATCACGACAATTGATAATTATATTACCTTTACTTCAGTTCAATGTTATATTTTCAAGTTTGGGAATCATCATTGAGATGGACTAAAGATATACCATAATGATTCATGTCTTTTTTTTACTCCAGGGGGCGTCTGGGGGAGCCGGGGGGGGGGGGGGGGTGGAGTTATCAGGGCTGAAACTCACTCCATTGATCGAGTTTACAACCCTTATGTGCCTAACGGGTTTCGAACTCGAGACCTCTCACTAGGCACGGTAACCTCACAACTAACTGGGCTGTAATGCTTGGTTACCATAATGATTCATGTCATTCAATTAGAAAATCATTTCTCATATCTCCCTCTAATAACAAGAAGATGAGTGTCTCATCAAAGTGGCATTATGCAAAGTAATGTACACATCGTCTCTTAAGGCCAATAGCGGGCCATTGTTGGGATTCATATCCGCCCAACATACACATCCTTTCTCTTTTAAGACCAATTATGGTGCAATGTGGAGGCGCAATAGGCACATCATACATGTGCAACAGGCTCATTAAAAATCTATTCACCCCTTCTAATGTTTTACCTCTATCTAGGACCATCAAAAGTATTCTCACACCTTTAAAATATGAACTAATAAACTAATACCTCATCTCAGATTGATTCGCAAAGTCTAACATTTTTTTGTCAATCAGTGTTAAAGTTAAATCCTTCTTACTAGAATAATTAAAAATTGAATCTGTTTTATGCGAGTAAAATGAATCTGTTTGATAAAAAATTGACTTTGCAAATCAATTTGGGATAAATGTAATATGGAGTACTATATAAGATCTCATTCTTATTAGATAGATTTTTAAAATGGAAGTGTAGTTCTTAACAAACTATGAGCAAAATGAGGTGAAGTGAGCTGTTTGGATCTAATTTTGAGAATTATTTCTTCTCTTTTAGGGAGATGTTTGAATAGCAAAATCAGGTTTGGGGTTGTTTACGGTATGTAAAAAGTCACTTGTACACATTTATTGTACATTCCCTAGTTGCTTGTGTAAACAGACAACTCGTTAGAAAGCTCTTGTGAACACAAGTAACTAGGCAGTGTGTACAACAAATGTGTACAATTATGTGTACAAGTAGCATGGATCAAGATTTTATCAAGTTTGCCGTTATAAAACAGATTAGTATGCCAAATTGCCAATAGTGATATATTCTTAGGGGTGATTGAAATTGATTGTGCTTTTGTTTCTTTTTTAAATGTAAAAATAAAATCAAAATCAGTGTTTAAAAATTGGTTTCCCCCAACTTCTAAAATACTACTTCTACGAGCATTTTGCAGCCTTCTAAAGTACTACTACACTTTCACTCAAACACTTCATATGTTACCCTTCTTTGAAAAAACAGAAGGAACATTATCATATGCTTAATTTTCGATGCCAGAATAATAATATATAAATAATCTTATACTTTTATGAAAATATGCTTAAGAAGGAACATTTTTATATAATTTTCATATGGAGTATTCAAAATAGTTTTGTATTAAAAAAGACCATTGATCAAAATTGATTGTCGTTAAATAAAAAAAGTCAATTTGACAAATCTTTTTTAGACATAAGTATGAAAGATACATATGCTGAAATGCACATATAGTACTCCCGTGACATTTGAACTAATTGACAAAAGAGAAAGGAGGAGACCATGAAACTAATTCAATAGCAAACTAGCAAAGTACTTTGTGTCGAGGACGAAATGGAGTGACATGGCAACACAAGTTACGACTGTTCTCTCAATTCCATGAAAGGTCCTATTCTAATCATTCACATTTCCACCGTTAAGAGCATTTGAGACCTCACTATAGAATTTTAGTGAGGTAGTTAATTGAATTGTTTTTAGAACATAATTTAGGAAAAAGTAATTAAAATACATCAAACTTTGAAAAAGTGTGGATGAATACCCCAAACCTGCATAAGTAATTTAAATATCTCGAATCTTATATATATATTTTTTAATATCATAGTCAAGTATTATTAATTTCTTTCAAAAATGTAAATTAATGATATTAATTGCATAATTTAAAATATATTAGAATTCTTGAAGACACAATTAACATTCTAAACTTTCATTGCAAAATATATATTATTATCCACAATTAATATAGTTGCAACACTTATAATTAGTTATTTTAAATTATGTCATTAACTCCTTAAATTTACATTTTTGAAAGAAATAATACATGACAATGATGAGAAAATAACATTTATATAATGTTTGAGATATTTAAATTACATATGCAAGTTAGGAGTGTTTACATCACACCACTTTAAAGTTTGAGTTATTTTTATTATTTTTTTCCCTATAATTTACACGCATTAAATAAATTCAGTCGAAATGAGGTCTCATTGTCATGCATTTCTATTGAAAATAGATGCAAAAATAATTTAATCGTGACCATGGGTTGTGAGATGCCACATTTGGCGGTCCCCTTGTTTGTGGGGACAGGCTAGCCATTATCGACTTTTCAACCTTTTTATGCTAAGAAACAACTTTAACTAATTATTAAAAGAGGGTCAACCGGAATCAACCTTGCTGTCGATGCCCTTGAAAGTTTAAAGCCTAAAAGGTGCTTACCGCCTTTCTCTTCATTATTAACTTCTCTTTGATTTGAAAAATAATTTAAAACGTAAAAACGTTCTAATTAACAATTGTGTTAAGCATCTTTAAAAAAAAATGTGTGAAGCACAAAAATAATATTAAACACAAATCATTTGTTATAAAAACAAAAAGTTTTATATTGAAACAAGGGAAAAAAGAAAGAGTGGAGTATACCTTTACACACAAGGAAGTTTTTCTTTCTTCATTATAAAATTTCAATTTAAATATTTTCCATTTGAATGGAAACTTTTTATATGATCAGGTATAATTCAGGAAGATAACTGCGCAGTTATCTTCAAGAATTTATTTGAATGTCTTTCCGATTGAAGTTTTAGCACAAATTTGGTATGAGTAAACTAGACTTAATGAATAAGATGCTCAAAAAAATTCATCAAAAAAATCCACTGGAAACCGCCCCAAATGGCGTCGACCAGACAAAGCGTCCTATATAAGGCCTTATTTGACCTTTTATGCAAGTTCGAGGCCCTATCTGACGCTTTTCTCGGTATAATATGATTTAGTCTACTCCAATCTAGTATGACCTAGAATCCGTTTGGTGATTCTATTTTTTCGGTTTATCAGGCTTATCGATCAAGTTTTTCACCACACGTAACTTTTGATTCGAGTGCTGGATTGTGCAATAATAATAAAAAGTAAGGTTGTAGTTAGTTTTCTGATTGTATTGGTTGTAATTACTGTAGAGGGTCATTTGAGCTGATTTGTTATATAATTTTTTCTTTACATTATCAATAAAATATAATTTAAATATAATTTTTTTTATAAACCAGCATAACCAGTTAATCCAACAACTTCAATCAAGATTTCATAAATTATAGCAAAATCAGCCAATACAGCCGATTTGAGTATTACCAAAAAACTCCTAATGTGAAATTGAGATTAGTTGAACTGAAAACATCATATTTACAGAAATTCTCTATCTTTCCCTTTTACAAGAATAATAACATATAATACCTCAGTTAAAAAATAAATGACATTAGAATCATTAAAACTCAAGAAAATAGTAGAGGGTAAAGGCAAAAAACTTTACCAACATTTCATTTAGATGTCTAAAAAAAACTGCATTTGTCGCACAAAACTTAACCAACATTTCATTTAGATGTCTCAAGAAACTTAATCGTAATTCTATTGAAAGTAAAAATATGCGGTTAAATGATTAAGCTCTCGCAACCATAGTTTTTAGTTTATTGTTTCGACATGCATATTATCTTTTGATCAAATTTTATGGGGCGGAAGAATAATTAACCGAGTCATATAAGACATCCCATATGGAACGGGTAGTACTATTAATGAATGTAAATTGTAATAAGGGATTCACAAGCTTCCACAAGAGTCAGTTACAACTCAAGGGGCACTGAAAACAATTAAAGCTAATAGACTTGGAAACTTTCCAATGAACAACCATAACATTTATAGCATGGCGAAAAGAATAGAATAGAAAACTTAGGGAAGTAAAGCCGAAAAACATCAAATCATTGCTGGTTGCCAATACATTTTTAACAGCACAGCAATTACTGATTGTAAACTTCAGCTACAAAAAGAAAAAAAAACTTGGCAATTCATCAGTAGAATGTAGAAGAAAGAGATAAATAAGGTTACCAGAAACAAAGATGAAAATTACTGAAACAAAAAGTTCTGTTTCAACTTTCATAGCAAAACGAAAATCTATCTCTTCCAAAGAGTCCTTTGTGCAAAAAGCCTTCAAGACCTTGGGGGGCACCATGGATGGTCTAATGCATACCAGCCCGAGCAACTCGAGGTCTCACGGGTGTCTTTGAAGGACTAACCCTACACATTCACAACGACGGTTTAGTCACCTCTAATGACACAAATACTCACTCTGCCCCCCCCCCCCCCCCCCTCCAAGTCAATTTTCAATCATGAGTATATATTTTTTTCGTAACATAAAATGTTGCACACACATTACATACGATAAGTTTAGTTAAAGGACATTTTTTTGGGGAAATTGTGTGTTAATAAAAAATGAAGAATTATCTCCTCCCAAAGAAAAGAGTTAGGTTTGTAACGCTGAATTCAGCGTTGCAGACATAACTCTTTTTCTTCGAAGGAGGGAGCATTAAGAGGCAAATCTAGGAAGCTAGAAAAGAAATACCATTAAAGGTGGAGGGAAAATTTCATAAATAGAATTAAATTAAAACATTTCTTGGAATTGGACCATCGTTACTTTTCCCCCTAAAAATATGACTCATACACCCCTAAGAGAAAATTATTGGACACTTTTATTCCTCTTTTGGACTGAGCAAGACCAAATTATAAGATAAAATGGGGACGCTCTTAGTTGTGAAAATCATTCGTGTGTTACTCTTGTCTGAAGTATTCTTAAAAAAGAGAGCTCAAATGGTTTTACCTGATACGCTGTGACCCCAGCACCTCACCACAACAGTCCAATGCCATAATTGCACTCTCAGCCTGCACAAATTTCAGGGATGATCCATGTCTTTTATGAACTATAAATACTTGTGGAAAATGAAAATTATCATCTACTTGAAAACACTCATTACAGCTTGAGGATATTGTATATTTTGCAAATACATGCTTCAGGGTATTGGGTTATAAAAATTTAAAAATCTTCAACTTTTTTAGATAAACGAAAGAGAGAATATTTAAATTGATTGCATCAGTGCCCTTTCTCATTTAGTTCAACAACCTAAGCAACAAGAAAAGACTTTCTGTGCTATTTTGTTTTTGTTGTCAACCGATTCAGCTCTAACACAACCAAATAAGTTAGTGTTGGACAAAAAAATCTGATTGATGAGACTGAAAAGGTTTGGAAATAAGTGGCACCAAACATGCACTTAACTGCAATCAAATCTACTCCTGGACAAGAACCCAACTTATTTCGATATCAAAAACAATCATAATCAAGACCAAAACTTGTTTTCAAGCCTAAAAATGTAAAACTTTCTAAAAAAACTGTTATTTTATACGTAGTACATAGTAATTATTACTTTCAGCTTTTAAATGACATGAAAACAAATATGCAGATAGAGTTGGAAAGATAATCAGATGCAAATAATCAAAGCAACACATAGAGCGTAAGTATTACCATGACAAACTCAACAAAAGCTATACGGGTTGAATGCACTTGATCACCCAGAAGCCTCAGACGAGAAACCTTGAAATAACAAGTTTTCATTTCCCATAGTAATGTATGTTATTATTATAATTATAATGTTAGTTAACCTCATAATCCAAGTCCAAAAACGCTCTAGTAAGTATACTAACCTCACCACATCTTGTTTCAAAAAAAATCTTGACATCAGCTTGAGATACCTATAGAACATCACATTTATACGTTTTAATACAAATGAAAACTTCTAAAGATAGCTAAACATTTTTAGAACATTAGCACATTATCAGTGTCCTAAAGAAAGTGTGACTAGCCAGGTATTTTTAGATTAGAGGCAGTTAACCCCAGAATATCCTTTACACCAAAGGAAATACTATGGGCCAGTTTGGTAGGAGCTATTTTGCTGGAATGGCTGAATATGCTAAATCTTTCAAAAAGAAAGGCACCAGCAAAAAGCATGGAGCCTAACATGTACAAAGCATAAGAAGAAGAAAAATACCTTCTTATCTATATTTGTACAGTATACTGTCCTCGCACACATCTCTCGTTCATCTTCGGACTGTAAAAAAGGAACAACGACAATTAAAGAAAATGTATGAATGCTAGTTACTATGAATAGAAACACCGAAATAAAGCAATGATGAATGTTATCCTGGAGAGGAAACAATAATTAGCTCTTCATGTGCTAGCCAAAAAATGTGTTCATACCCTGGGAAGAAATGTGGGATTGACAGGAAGGATAGCCGTTTTGGAAGGTAGGACCTTCAGCTGGGAAAACCCTAGTATGGTACCAGTGAGGGAAAGAGATGCTCTGGCAGAGTCTGTTGGAATTTATTCCAAACACCAAATAAGGTTAAAATATCTTGGAGGCATTACAACTAATTGCAAGGAAATCAAGGAAAGTACATTCATCAGCAAATTCCACAAAAGCAAAGCGCAGATGAGAGTGTGGATCACCACAAACTCGACAGTCAACAACCTGTGAAAAAGGACAGTCAAAAAATTAAGATACCACATTAGGGAAAATGCTACTTAAAAAATATAGAAGAAATAATAGAGAAAACTTAGAAGGAAAGATAATGTTAGCGAAAATAAAACATTGGTTCAAATTAATAAACAAATTTTGATGTTTTTCAAGATCTTTGATTTTTTTAATTTCTATTGCATATAGATTACTAAATTGTTAGGTTCCCGGGGTAGAATGCATCATAAATGTAAACAAGTTTAAGAATTTAAAATCATTAATCATTGTCCAACTTCCTTTTCATTTTCCATTATTAAACCATACACAAGAAAATGAGTTTCAGTGGCATTTTTTCTCTCTCCCTACCACTTTTCGAGATCTAAACAAACCCCAAGGGTCAGTTTGAACTCGGAAAATGTCAAGAAGAGAAAGAAAAATGGGGGAATAGAACATCAGTTCAAGAGCAATAAATTTATCTTTTATACTACTCATCTCATTTATCTAATTCTATTATATACGAAACAAACACTAAGAAACCTGAACAAATCTAAACACTTTTAAAAAACATAATCCTATTTTCATTCACCTTCTTATTTTCCAACGCAAACCCAAGCATGAGAAAATAACATTGCATAATATTTTTTTATCCTTGCATTACATTTTCTGAGAATAAACATACTGTAAGGGCTGGTTTGGAACAGAGGAAATGCTAGGGAAAGAAAATCAGGAAGAAAGTATAGCAGAAATCTGGATGGAAAGAAAATGTTGAACAAAATACAACATCAGTTCAAACTCAATTAACTTATATTACATATACTTGTCCAAACTATTTCTTATTTATTCATTTTATTTATATACATGCTAAAAATTATAAACATTAATTAAAAAATCAAAGCATTAATCATAGGCCATCATTTCCCTTTCCTTTTCTAAGCTAAAACAAAGCATGTGTAAATAACTCTAGTAGATTTTATTTCCTTTCCATGGCATTTTCTGAATTTCTGGGTTCAAAATAAAGCCTTAGTGAAATCAATTAGAAAGAAGCAAATGAGACAATAAATGGCTTCAGTAAGAATACATTTTAAGTAGACCTTGAATATATAAGGTATATGAATAATGTTGGGATTCCTTTGTAAAATGTTTACTTACTTGCCCATACGCACTAAATAAGCCAGCAAGCTGCTCTTCTGTGACCTACATAAAAGTAAAAAATGAATAAATCAAAATAAGAATAAATAAAATTATCAAAAAACTGCACCAGAACTTAATTTCTACTTACATTGTGATCAATGTCAGAAACATAGACAGTTCGCCTAATGCTATCTTCTCTTTGAGCTTTAGAAGCTCTATTGTTTATTCTGTTGTTCCTTCCCTGATTATAGCTGTTTCCTCTCTAGTGAAGACAAATAAAGTGATTTACTATTTCAATGTCATCATAACACTAAGAATTACATAAAAAACTGAAGTAGACAAACCATATAAAGGCTTAATGATAATAAATGGTATAGGTAATACATTTTCTACAAAAAACACTCATTTATACTAGATATAGAAAAGAAAGCACTCCAGCAAGAAGGCCATCTTAACATGGTAATGAAGGTAGCTGCATCAATATGTAGAGCTTCTGTAAGATGGGAAAAGGGGCAAATAAGCCCTCGAACTAATAAAAAAAGTGCATATAAGCCCTTTTGTAGGAGGTTCTGTCCGATCATCGTCATTTGGGGAGGTTCTCGGTGGAATTTTTTGATGAATTTTTTTGAGCATCTTCTTCATTAAGTCTAGTTTATCCATACCAAATTTCAGCTAAAAATTCAACCGGGAAGGCACTCAAATGACTTTCGGAACTACACTGCGTTGTTTAACTGCGCATTTATCTTCAAAAATTCATTTGACTATCTTCCCGATTGATTTTTTAGTTGAAATTCGGTATGACTAAACTAGACTTATTGAATAAGATGCTCAAAAAATTTCATCAAATAATTCCACCGGAAACCTCCCCAAATGATGATAGACAAACGAAACCTCCTACAAAAGGGCTTATTTGCACTTTTTTGAGTAGTTCGAGGGCTTATTTGCCCCTTTTCCCTCTGTAAGATAGATATGTTGAATGTATATACTCTGTAATTAAATACAACTAAAAAGGAAAACTTTACAATATAGCGAGTACAATTTTCCCACTTGGAAAGGAATTATATGTTGCTTATAGATATAAAGAAGCTTGAGTAAAGCAGAAAGAAATAGCCTATAACAGTGAAACTCTTCTCAAACCACTGTTAATTGTTCAAGCACACATAAGTAATCTGATCTTAACCTCTATGAAACTGATATAAAACCTATGAATTGACTAATGAATATTGAATACTCGGGGGGGGGGGGGGGGGGATTCAGACCCTGGCACACCCCACATTCAGTAAAATTATACATTTTCCAACAACAACAATCTCCAAGCCTTAGTCCCAAATGAGTTTGGGGTCAGCTAATATGAATTGACACTAAAATTATACATTTTACATGTAAAATAATTATGTAGATTTTTAGCGATATATATATGCATCTGATTAACTACTGAAAGTTAATTCCGTAAAAGGAGTAACCAAAAACAAATTTTAACCAAAAGAATGGTGAAGTTTTTAAGCCATTAAAACAGAATTTCATTTCAATTAGCTGGGATAACTATAATTGAGCCAGCAGAAAAACCAAAACAATCATATACTGTATTAAACTTGCTATGATAAACACATGAAACACAGTCTTCTATATTAAATGGAATTTTTGTACAAAGACGAGTCTAAAAGAAACAAGATCTGCACAAATCATCCTATCACAGATATAAGTTGGCCCAGTTTCCAAATTCTAGTGCAATGATTGTAAGATGTATCAAACTTACGAATCTCAGATACAATTAAGGCTAAGTCATATCATTTCATAACGAATGGAAAATGAATAAAACAAAAAAGCTGCTAAATTTCAACAACAAAAACAAAATATCTAATCGATCAAACCCAAGAAATAGACTTTTTTTACCCTTCTGTTACTTCGCAAAGCATCAGTCACAAAAGTCTTATTAGCTGTCATAAAATTGCTGATCCCATCCTCGCGGATATATGAAGAAGGGAAAAACTCTTTTGCCATGGGGTTCAGCTTCAAAGTCTTAAACATATCCACAATTATATCCTGCATTTGATACTCGGATTTCGAGTTCGAATCTGAACCAGAGTCCTTATCCCCGTTCATCGGAGACTCCGATTTCACATTGATGCTGACGTCAGAACCAGCATCAGAAACTATGCTGGAAGCAGCATCGGCGTTTGCTGATGCAGAAAAATTCTCAAGAACAGGTGACTCCACCATTGTTGGCTCAACAAGCACCTCAGGACCAGTTGCCATTGAATCAAAGCCCAGATGCAACAAAGATTCAAAATTTATTGAAGGGATTAAAAACAGATGAATCAAAACACAGACCCTTTGCTCAATTCCTCAAAAAACTCAAATCTTGATGGATATATCAAAAACAATTTGCTGAGGCTCTTCCGATTTAGGTAAAATATATCTGAAATTTTATCACTTCATCCGCTCGCTTATACGAATATATACGATAATAAAGACTATAAATACAACCCAATTAAGGAAAAATGCCAGAAATGAAAGAAAATAGGGGATGGTGAGAGAGTGTTTGTGCAAGGACTAAGAAGATTAAAAAAAGCAGAAAGTTTAGGGTTTTGTAACAAATTTGATCACAGGAATTGGTGGATTCTGGTAGTGGTTTATGGGAGTACTCCCCCAACAAACAGCTGCTGGCCTGATTCTTTTATTCTGTTTTAGAGAGAGAATTTTACGTATATTTCATGTATAATGATGAGGTTGTCTTGTGCATGTATAATAATTGTATATACACAGTCTTCTTTCCAAGCAAAATGCATTATAAAACTTTAAAGAAATTTGTGCAGCCTATTTTGTTTTCGTTTTTATTTTATTTAAAAAAGAAGCAGCCAATTTTGTTTGGTGCATATATTCGAATATAATAATGAAAGCACGCTATTATTAAATGCTAAAATAAGTGCACTTATCGCAATTCTTCAAAAGTAACCTTGAATTGTGTGTTATTTTATTTGTTTTTATTTATGCCTTTTCTATGATTTATTTATTTAAGGTAATTATGCTAAATTCTTATTCATATAGGGTGCATGTGTACCCAGCATCGACCGGACAGTTAATTGGAAGAATGTAAATTGGACTTTAATCACAAGTTGGCAGATAACAGGAGTGATTCTGGTCCTGGTACTTTGGAGTCTCTATGCATTATTACACTGTATCCTCTCATCGCAGTTGCAGAGTATCTCGGAAAAGTATTACATAATGACATAGATCTGTGTAACTTTGTTTTCATCCTTTTTTGTTATTTCAAAACTTTGCCATTTTATTTAAGTTAATTATGATAAATTCTTGTTGAAATAATGGCAACCATATTACTACCACCCTTTTCATTTCCAAAAATATAACAACTATTACCTTTACTAAAAATGTGATCGGTCATTTTCCGTACAAGACCTACGCATCCATCTTCTCTGTGCAAACTTCCCCCTCAGCTAGAGCAACCATCGATGCAAGACACTAAGCTCCTCACCCGCCAGGCTTATCTCTCCATCGCCACTACTCTTTAGCCGCCGCCGCTTTCCAGCCACCACCGCACTCTAGTCGCCGCTCTCTTCTTCTTCTCCTCATTTCTTGCTGCAACCGCTACCTGTCTTCCTCGTTGTTCAATCGCCGCATCTCTACGTCTGATGGCCTCACCTGTGCTAGCTTGTCCGTCATCCGTAGATGGCTGCCGATGCTGGATTCGCCGCCTGGATGGACGATGGCTGCTATTTAGGGTTGCGATGTCAGACATGTCGCCCTTGGGGCCGCCAGTGCCAGATCTGTTATCTCGACGAGGGTTCCAGATCTATGGTTAAGTTCCCGGCGGCGATTGTGCAGGGCAGGGCTGGGGTTGTGGTGTGGTGGCCGGACGGAGTAGTCGTGGTGGGGGGCGGAGGTGGTTCATTGGCGAGGCGGGGGTAAAGTCTTGGGCATCGATTGTGTAAGGTTGGGGTGTGGTGGGGCAGGGGCGGGGTGTGGTGGGGTAGGGGTGTGGTGGATTGGAGTCGGGGCTTGGGTTGGGGTGTGGTATCCACTTGGTCGGTCGTGGTGGTTGTTTTGAGGTGGTTCAATAGAAGAGGCAGACAATGACAGTCACAGGCCCGGGGAAGGGGGCGACAGTCACTGGCCGGGGGGGAAGGGGGCGGTAGTCACTGGCCGGGGGAAGGGGGCAACAGTCACTGGCTGGGGGGTAGCAACTCCTGGTCGGGTCGACGGCAGTCACTGGTTGTTGGGAGGCAGCAGTCACTGGTTGTTGGGAGGCAGCAGTCACTGACCAGGGGCTGTGGCAGTCACTGGCTGTGGGTGGCGGCAGTTACTGGCGGGGCGGAGTGACTATGGAGGTGGAGCCACTTTGACCGGAGTCACTGTGCACTACAGTGCTTAATTGTGATGTTGGTCACATTTTTGGAATTTAAAAAAGGGATCATATTTTTTTTGTCTTTTATTCTTTTTTAGTAATATATATTCAGGCCAAAAGGCCATTCTTGTTGGTTAGAGGACTAATTTGAAGTTTTTATTATTTTTCTCTCCTTTATACTCCGTATGAACTTTAACCATACACATTTTATTTAATCATTTTTTTGTGCCGATCAAAGTTGAAAAAGTTTTGAGAGAAGGAGTATTATTTGTGTTCACCATCATCAGTGAGACTATTATTTCAAGTAAAGATCTACATTAGCTATCACCTTGTTGATATATGACTTAATGACTACAATAATTTACCATCTTTGATTGCATAATTGGATGACATCTATGTTGAATGTAAACGTGAAAACCATGAGAAAACATGAAACGGGAAACATCGTTTTTTGGTGAAAATATTACATCCGTCTCGAAATAATTGTCTTGTTTTCCTTTTTGGGATGTCCTATATTAATTTTTGTGTTTCCTCTTTTGGCAACAATATGTGGTTCATATCAATATACCTTTTTTCTCCTCGAATTTCAACCACAATTTTTTACATTTTCAAACATTTTCTTAAAGCTTGTGCTAAAGCAACCAAGACAATTATTTCGGGACGGAGGAAGTATATATTTGGAGTGTTTTCAAACAATCTCTGTAGAGTTTTCGAAATTAAAATGTACTCTTTTTCAAGATTTTTCATGCTTCATATCTTTATCATATATAATTATGATCTTGTCCCTTCGAGGACATCCGATATAATTATGATTTTTTTTCAAGCAAAAAGCTTATATCAAATTCATAGAATCAAACATCCCAACATCATCAATAAACCAAGCCTCCCCTCTAGACTCTATGTAGTCAATAGGCCCCCTCACTCCCTGATCATACACAGAATAGACCACCCAAAAATGAGCGAGACTAATCGTTGAACATATGAGAGCTTCGAAGCTATTATCGGCCAGATTAGCCTGATTGTTTTCAATCAATCTCACAATATAAAGCACCCACAACTTCCAATTATTAACCAAATAAAAAAGTACAAGATAACAAAAAATAAAACTTGAACGAAAGATAGAGCACAAGAGCGCATGTAATCAAGTCCCGCCGTGAAACGTCAGCCTCCGATCCTTGGCTCTTCGGTCGCTCCAAAGTAGTGGCTTTGGGGGGGGGGGTCAATATTTTGTCTTCCTAGTTCATCTCGTCATTCCTTCCCATCTCTAAGAGCATCTTCAATGTTAATACGTTAACGGTGCATACGTGGCATGAGAGATAGCCAATCAAAAAACAATAAATAAAATATCTCTCTCCTAATTTGAAGGATCTTATATCATTTTGGTAAGTTTTTCTTCACAATGTCAAGCACAATGTCTAGATATAGACAATGTGGTTAACATTGCAGAGAAAAACTTACCAAAAACACATAAGACCGTGGAAAGACGGAGAAAGAAATGTCAAAAAATCAATCTTTTGTATCTATCGCTCTCATTCCACATGTGCACCGTGCACATTGTAGCATTGGAGATGCTCTAACCTCTTCATGTCTCTTGATTCACCGTTCATCATGATTAGAACATACTTCCTCCGTTCTTTTTTAGTTGCAACAGTCAACCTTTGCACATTTGCCAACGCACACATTTGACCGTAAGTATATCTTAATCTTTATTAATAAAAAAAATATTAAAAATCGGATTTTGAAAATTTGTAATGGATGAATTAAAAAATATTTTTTTTAAAAATAATTTCCACAAAATAATAGTGTAAAATGTAGTCATAGTAGATCATGTGAACAGTGCAAAAAGTCAACACGCTCCGATTAATAAAATACGGAGGATAGTATATGCCATTGTTTCTGTCGGGGCAAGGTTTGCATCACACCTATTGTGTTGTCTTCCATCTCCCCGCTGCTTTCTCGCTGAAAAAGCTAAACAAAACTTATACGCCGATGACTTTGCATGGCTGCAAACCCTAGCCGATGACCAAGCGCGGCTCCAAAATCCTAACGCACGAACGTGTTCTCTTCCACTTTCTAGAGAGAGAACAAGAGCTCTCTACAAAAAAATATTTGTTATTAATTATTAATATAATTGCGAATACATGATTATGATTCTAATGTGCAATGCTTTTCATAAATCAAATCCATAATAGTTATGAATAATTCAAAGGACATAATAGGTGAAACCATTACCTAAAATGTGAGCTAAAATCTTGTACAGGCAGTTTAAAATCTTCCTAGTTCATCTCGTCATTCTTTCCCATCTCTAACCTCTTGATGACTCTTGCATCACCGTTCATCACGATTAGAACATACTTACTCCGTTCTTTTTTAGTTGCAACAGTCAACCTTTGCAAATTTGCCAACACTTAGAACATACTTACTCCGTTCATCACTAGTTGCACATTTGACCGTAAGTATATATTAATCTTTATTAATAGAAATATATAAAAAATCAGATTGTGAAAATTTGTAATGGATGAATTGAAAAATATTTTTTTAAAAAAATAATTTCCACAAAATAATAGTGTAAAATGTAATCAAAGTAGATCATGTGAACAGTGCAAAAAGTCAACACATTGCGATTAATAAAATACGGAGGATAGTATCTGCCATTGTTTCTGTCGGTCAAGGTTTGCATCTCACGTATTGTGTTGTCTTCCATCTCCCCGTTGCTTTCTCGCTGAAAAAGCTAAACAAAACTTAGACGCCGATGACTTTGCGCGGCTGCAAACCCTAGCCGATGACCAAGCGCGGCTCCAAAATCCTAACGCACGAACGCGTTCTCTTCCGCTTTCTAGAGAGAGAACAAGAGCTCTCTACAAAAAATATTTGTTATTAATTATTAATATAATTGCGAATACATGATTATGATTCTAATGTGCAATGCTTTTCATAAATCAAATCCATAATAGTTATTTAATAATTCAAAGGACATAACAGGTGAAACCATTACCTAAAATGTGAGCTAACATCTTGTACAGACAGTTTATTCCTTAGCTTTACCGTTAGCAACCTAATTTACGGTGTGCTATCACTTATCAGAATGGGGTGGCCTGACGAGTAGATTTTGCCCCCACATAAAAATTGAATGGTAAAGATGCTGGCACAATACCTACCCCATGTGACTCTATAAGAGAGTCGTATGGGGCTCTATAATTTTTTTTGGTGATCTGAACTGTAACACTTGAATAAGTTCTTAGCTCCGACACTTTCACGTAGGAGTAGAAAATATTTGAGAGTATATTCTAGAAACAATTCAAGTGCGAGTTATTGAAGTGATTCTAATTCATCCAATTGAGATAGTCTTTTTGTGATGTCTTGAGTTTAAGTTAATAATTGCCAATAGAGGAAGAACGGAGGTTTTACCGAGTTTAGTTTCGGTTCGATTTTTATTGGTTTTAGGTTTGGTTTGGTTTGGTTTGAATGGGATCATAAGAATGATAACAAACAAAACTCATACTATGTTTCAGTTTGGCTCAGCTCGATTCGATTCGGTTTGGGTTTGTTTTATTACTTAAGAATATATGAAGATTATATTGAATATTTTTAATTCAGTTCGCTTTTTCTCGGGTTTTTATGTTCAATTCGGTTTTGTACGGTGTGGGAGAAATGCTACCAAACTCATTCCAAATTGCATATGATTTGATTTCGATTCGGTTTAGTTCGGTCTCGTAATGTTCAGTTCAATTAATTTTTGTTTAGCCTCACATTATTTAAGCGACGATATGAAAGTTATACTTCATGCACCTACCCACCCCATGATGGCATCTTCCTTCCCCTAACCCACCAAAGCTCCATAGCGCTCTCTAACTAGGCAGGCCTCCCCGATGAACATGTGACAATGAAGCTATATTGCTATCACAAATCAGAGCAATCAACCAATTCGAGAATACACAACCATGGATATGGAGAATGTGGTTCCTAGTCTAAATGGTCATATAACTCTGTAAACATATGACGCATGCTATTGAAATGATATTGTGCCATATTTTATATTTGCACAATCTTATTTACTTTTCGAGTTGATTGACACTTGTAAGTAGAATTCTCTCAATGCAAAGTTATTCTGAATTCATATCCTTTCTAATGTATTTTAAGCTAAGGATGAAATAAATGTCTGCCACAAGTCATTATTGTATTTGGACACATTGGCACATGTTTGAGTATTGTCAAGTTTCTAATATCATCAAATGATGTTAAGGAGATTATTCTCATGTGATCCCTCGTTAAGGAACTCCTTCAGTCCAAACACAACTTTCGATTGATATAAGTCTCTCACATTGTCATGTATATTTTTAATATTAATTGTTCCTCCAAAGGCCCTACGGAGACGTAAACCTATGACCTTTGAGTCATAAGATTCCCAATACCAGTCTCCAATTAATTGGATTGGAGGCCATATGTGGTAATGTGTTTTTCGCTGTTGAAGTTAATTTTTGAATATATTTTGCTTAAACAGTATGTACTCCGATATATTTTTGTTTCTGTATAGGAATTCAATTAACTCTACGTTGCATACTAATTATACTATTTGGTGGTCGTACATTTTTTGTCATAAACTTGTGGTATTGATTTTGATGTAAAACACATAAATTTGCTCTTTTGAAAGAGTGGGTATTTTTTAAACATATTTGCTTCAAATTTTGGTAGCACGAGTTGTCACTTTTACTTAGTCACTTGTGATATCATCACGTGATTAGATATTTTAGAGGAATGTGACACTATTAAATTTGAAGAATGAAAAATTGTGTATTATTACACATACAAAGAGGATTAAATGAGAACAATTTGAACCAACATTCATAAGACATCATGCTTCCAAATAATATAAAAACAAATGTAACAATTACTAGTATTAGTTTTTTTTTATCATCAAAACGGGCTTCTATTCATATCAAAAGATTCAGGATCATTACATCAAGCAAAAGGAAAATAAAACTGACACCAAGTGAAACTTCAACTACTACGACTGTAACCCTATGGTGAGACTTTGAGACGGTCACCCCTGAGAGAGTAACACGAATCGCTAACCATGTAGTGGGCTTGACACAGCCAAACATATTCCCATAGATCCAACCATACCCAATGACATAAAGAGAGGCAAAAAACTCAAACAAATTGTCAAAACCAACAACAAAAGTGGACACAAGAAAACAAATAACAAACAGATAAAAACTACAAGAAAAGCGTTCACGAACTCTAACACCTCGTACATCCCATGGTGGTGGTTCTGGAGGAGGTCTTACCACCGGTACCATGTTAATTGATACTCCGTGACCTTTGGCTGCCAAAGGCCATGCATCAATCCCCCGACCCTGCATAACCAAACTCATCCCTGCCCCATGCAACCAGAGTAAATGGATAGGCGGCGTCGATCTTCTCCAACGACAACAGCAACGCACCATCCTCGAACCTTGACCACAACGCCGATCTCTTCGAGCCATGACAGCAAATCCGCCCTTCGAGGACGAAGCACAAACAACAACAGCCGTCCTTCGATTAAAATCGAAGACGGAAATAGCGGCCGTCCTTCGATTAAAATCGAAGACGGAAAAAGACTCCAGAAAGAGCTCTACCCTTGATTGACGTGTATTTCTATATTCTTAAAAATTCTAAGTAATTATTTTTACGTAAATAAATACTTTAATTTGTAACAATTATTAGTTGAAGAGTATTTTTATGATTTAATATTCTTATACACCAAATTATTATAACTATAATCATAAATTAAATGTGAAACAACAAATGCAAATATGTATTCATTGTCATACTTACATATGTTGTTGGGCAGCTTATGCATTCTTTTGAGAGAAAATTAGTGTTTGAATGAATCACCTTTTCGATGTTTGATTAAATCAATGATTTTTGAAATCTTTTCCCAGTCAAACTCATGGATCGACACGAAGAATACTTCGAGCATCTGATTGAGGAAGAGGAAGGAGTAGTTTTTTCTGTACGTTGCAAGGAGGGGAGCAACAGGGGGGGGGGGGGGGGGGTTATAAGATGCTGGTTTCAGTTTTATTGCATGTCTATTTTTCAACTTTGCTAGATCTTGATTGTTTTGTTTTATTGCTTTTGTTGAGTCATACTATATTTGTTTCAATCTTAAGTGGCCTTCAAATTTGCAGTAAGTTTACCAATTACCATGTTGGTAATGATTGACTCAAGTATGCATGTCTGCGCTGGTTAGCATATTGCTTTTTCACCTAGCAAAGACCACCTCTTTAATTACCTGATTCGAGGTTTGTTTAAGAGTCATTGAGTTTTATTTGGTTGAAATTATCTATTTTCTCATAATTTTACTATAAGTCTGTTTATAAATAGATCTTCATTTTTCTAAGAGATATAATAAGGTATAAGGCAATTTTCTCGTTATTTTGTAGATCTCATTATTCTCGAAGAATTTTTTTATAGAGTACGTCTATTTTCTAAAAAAATTTGAAAAGTAAAAGGCAATATTGTAGAAATGATAATTTAAAAAATTAATCCTAAACATTTCATTTTTAGTTAATTGATTTAACTAAATTAATTCATTTAACTTTAAAGCATGAATCTAATTTAGTTATAATTTTTTATGCATAAAGTTATATGAATTCATATCAATTTTCATTATATGCACAAATATAAAAAATTTGTCTTCACAGACTTTGGAGGGGATGGAAAAGCTAGGAGGTGTGATGCAAATCATTCAAATGGTTTATAAAAGTTTATAACGATCTTATGAAATTGCAAACAACTGCATCTAATCTAAAACAAACAATTAAACTGAAATAAGTTAGTAAAAATCAATTATCCCCTTCCCTTAGCTTTCTTTCAAGATCATACACCAAACATTCCCTTAAAAGAAACTTGGGGATCTCTTGGATGTCACATTTTACTCACTGCCTATTATGTGTGCAATCGTTTAATCCAAAAATTTAACGAGTTACAAATTCAATAGTGAACGAAATAATTATATATTTATGTCTAAAACAAAGATGTTTTACAAAAATGTGACCTCTTAAATGTAGTGACTATGATAGCAACTTTAGTCATAATGATTTGTGTTCATTTTTTACACTCAAGTAATTAGTCATATTTTTATAAAGAAGATTCATTTCAGCAATATTTTTGAAAAATTGCATACTGAACACTTGGAAAAGTCGGCCATTTGATATTTATAAATTTAGTTCTATTGATTCAATTTAATTTTGAAATTGAAATAATATATGAACTAAAGTATTATCATGAATTATTCCTTATATCTAAATTTATACACCATTGTGGATGTAGCTAGACCACATTAATTGAGATTGAAGGAATATTAATTATGAAGTCATTCTTATTTTAGACAAACCAAACTTTTGGACAACTATTTCAAAATCCAAGCACATATCTATAAGGGAATATATTCCAAATTCACTTCAATTTCATCCTAGTATTTTGAGTGGGGGAGATGGAATTTTGATTATGTCACTTCAATCTATTATACTCATTGTTATACATTATAATTGATAATTGATGAAACAATCATACATACACCTTTTGAATTTTCAAAAAGATGTATATTAGCATGAAAGAAGATATTGAATACATGTGCGTAAATAACTCCTATGCCTAAAAGAATAACGACACACCTATCAAGTTATACTATATAGAAAAAATTTTCAATTAATTAAGTCCTTCTACAATTAAAAAACAATCACATAAGATTGTTTACTAAAAAACATTGTTTTCGATCTCTCACTCTCACGAGTTTTTTGTATTCCCGTTAAAGTATTTGTCCTACATCGAAAAACTATAAAAACAATAAAACACTATATAAGGCTTTGGGCTACTCCTCCTATCAGGTTGACCTTTTAGGATGGAACCCAGATCTTAACATGATATCAGAGACAATTCTGGTTGTGGTTTGACGGCTTGTTTAGCACCCATGATTACGGGTAGCTTGTTAAGGGTATGTTTGGCCCATTTATCCACCCCGACATTGTACAGCCCGGTTCGGGTTGAGGGGACGTGTTAAAGTATTTGTCCCACACCGGAAAACTATAAAAACAATAAAACACTATATAAGGTTTTGGGTTACTCCTCCATCCTATCAGGTTGACCTTTTAGGATGGAATCCCGGATCTTAAACAATTCCCCTTCTTTTTGCACATATACCCGTTTCATTGCACTGATACCCGTTTCATTTTCTTCATTCTCTCTTCCCAAATTATTTTTACAAGCTAATTCAAGTGTCGTAGTGAGAACCCCCGCCATAGCTATAACTAATTCCACTCTTTTTTTTGCGCACTAAACTCAAACATTTTTTAACTCAATTATAAGTAGCAGAAGAATATCAGAGGATTAATTGATTAAAGAATGAAATAAGTCATGTAGAATAAGAACAAAAATTGAAATCCATATATTCTATGGAATTATAAGAACAAGGACAAAGTAATTGAAACAAATAAAGGAACAAACAAATTGAATTTACTTTAAAGATGATGTCCTAGGGTCGATGTGCGAAGAAAGAAGGTCAAAGGGAAAACATAAATATAATAGAAAACGAGAGAAAACAGAGAATGCATGTTGAAGCATTTATGCACATCATAAAAATATAAAATATTAAGTGAATGAACAATATCTTAACTTACTAATTTGAACAAATCATTTATACACATTTTTGTACACATCACTACACATGTATGTGAACAAGATTTTTTGCCTACGAATATATAGCTTGTTCACAAACCAGACATGTCTATGAGCATATTTTGTCTATAAACATACTATTTACAGACAAATGTTATACAAAAAAGTGTGCGCAACAAGCAGGCTTGCACTATTTTTTATGTTGGAACCCAGAATTGACATCATCATCTCATAATATTGAGAGTACCATCTCATTCAGAGGCGTAACGGGGTCTAGACCCCGATCCACCCCAAATTTTAAAAATGCCTATATTTTTAGTGTATGCCATGAAGAAATGAAATGTAGCCATCAATCATTATCCTGTAATAATTAAATTAACAATTGTGTGTGCTATATAGTTAATAATTTGTACAGGGCCGACCTTAATCTGTTTAGGAGTCCATTCACGCACGACATCAAAACCTATTAGACCCAATAAGCAAAGAGGATTATTTAGTTGTAGTTTACATGAATTTTAATATGTCAACTCAGGCCCACAATTTTGGTCATGTAGGCCACTCAAAATTAAGTTAAATACACTCATTGAGTCCATTATACATACAGTACTTTTGATGTATATTTTTGATGTACATAGGGAGTATGTATATTTCTATCTCAGCGGGAGCCTGTCAATGGGTCGGGTCCGGACCGGAATGTAGTGTTCTAGACCCGAACCCGGGCGCTAAGTTAATAAAGGATTCGGACCCGACCCGTATATCCAGCAGGTCTGCAAATTTGGACCCGAAACCAATGGGTCTCGGAACTAAATCGGGTACCCGCCAAGTATGATATGGACAACATTAAAAATTTTGTGAAAATAAAACGACATATATATGAAATGTAAAACATAGTGCGCAAACTTAAAAGCAAAATATATCTTCACTTTTCATAAAAATCAAGGTTTCTCATAGAAAATTGGCACTTTTATCCAATGAAGTATCAATTCTTGTAGAAATTAGGTTACAAAAAGGTCTCTTGGACTATTGAGAATTGAGAGTATAAAAACATATTATATATGATAATAATATAATAATATAAATAATAATAAATATTGGACTTTGCCTACCGAGCTCAATACACACTTTATTAGTATCTATAAACAGCCAAAGTGGGTATTAGTTAGTTTTAGGGTATCTTATTACTATCTTGATCGGAATCACTTATATGTATAGTAGGTATGTATTAGTGTGTATGTATCTTTTTAATTAAAGAATTACAACTATTAACTTTATGTATTAATATGTATGTCAGTATGTGTGCGTGTATGTGTGTATACTGATAAGAAATTTAAACGAGTCCGGGTCTTTAACTAGTCGGAATCATATGTACCATACCCAACTCATTTATTAAAAGTACTAATGGATCCGGGTAAACAAAATAAAATATATACACATACTCGTTAAAAATAGTCGCGTCAGGTTCGGGTCTAGACCTGACCGATTGACAAGCCTACTCAACGACGCCATGTTCGTGCGGGAAGATTTGATCATTTGAGATGCACTTTCGGATTTTAAATTACTACATATTTTATTACGAGTACATTTTGAAGTCGTATGACATACAAAGTAGTATTAAGGGAGTGTTTGCAACTGCTTCTGCTTAAAAAAAACACTTTTGGAGATGTAAGGAAAAAGTGATTAGTAGGAAAAGTTGATAGTGTTTGAGAAAAAAGTGATTTTGAAAAGTAAAAGTTGATAGTGTTTGGTAAACTAAGTGCTTTTTGTGTAATAGAAAGGGGAAAAGCACTTTTCACACGCAAGCCGAGAAAAAGTAAAAATTGGTAGTGTTGGTAAATAAGTGCTTTTTTAAGCCAAAAGCTGAGAAGTGCTTTTTTTAAGTGATTGCAAACACTCCCTAAGGGAGTGTTTGCGATTTCTTCAACTTTAAAAAAGTGATTTTTTAAAGTGATTTTGGAAAAAGTGATTAATAGTAAAAGTTGGTAGTGTTTGAGAAAAAAGTGATTCTGAAAAAGTAAAAGCTGGTAGTGTTTGGTAAAATAAGTACTTTTTGTGTAATAGAAAAAGTGAGAAGCAGTTTAAAGCACCTTTCTACCTGCTTCCAGCTTTTAGCTTTTAAGTGATTAATTTAAGCAGAAGCTATCATTTGAAAACACTCTTTTCAACTTTTTTTAATCCAAAAGCTGAAAAGCGTTTTTTTTAATCTAACCCCAAACACTCCTTAAATCTCATTCTATATACGGACTTTATGGAGTATTAGAGTTTACTTAAGAAAAAATTCCATAAATATTACTCTTTAAAATGTGATGGACAAAAATATGACTCTAATTATGTTCAAAGTTTACATCGTAATCCCTCAAT